AAATATAAATTTTAAATGATGATATACCACCTCACACTGATGGCAACATTTTAAAAATAAATGCTTGAGAGGATGTGGAGAGATTGGAATACTCATCTGCTGCTGATGGGATTGCAGGATTGTACCGCCACTATGGAAAACAGCAAGTATTGCACTTCCTTAAACCATGCCAACCGGAATTCCATATGACCCTGCAGTCTCTTTACTAGAGCTATCCCGCCTCGAAATAAAGGACATGAGCAGATATATCCATGCCCATGTTTACCACAGAACTTTCTATAATCACAAAAGGATGGAAACAACCAGACCCCCACCTGTGGAGGAATGAATAAATCAACTCTGGTGCATACACACAACGCAATGGTATGCATCTCTACAAGACAATAGTGAAACTCAAACACCTCATGACATGGACACATTTGGGAGACAAAAGGCTTGCAATATTCAGTCAATGGCAATGTAACGGAGAGGAATTCCTGAAACCCAAATGAAGGCTGAACGTGATAGTGGGACAAGAGGAAAGTAAAAGGAAACGGAGGAAAGAACTAGGAGGCAAAGGGCACTTATAGAGGTCTAAATAAAGACATGTACATATGTAAATATATTTATATACGATGGGGAAATAGATCTATGTACATATACTTACAGGTTAAATGTTAAGGTAGCAGACAGACATTGGACCTCTAATACAATACTCCCTCAACGCAAGAACACTTCATTCTAATAATCCGGCATTCTGTGATGCTCACCTTCCTGACAAGATCACTGAAGACAAAATGGGTGCATAAGCAAATGTGGTGAAGAAAGCTGATGGTGCCCAGCTATCAAAAGATATAGCATCTGAGGTCGTAAAGGCTTGAAGATAAACAAGCAGCCATCTAGCTCAGAAGCAACAAAGCCCACATGGAAGAAGCACACCAGCCTGTGTGATCATGAGATGTCAATGGGATCAGGTATCAGGCATCTGAGACCCAGAACAAAAAATTATATTGGTGTGAATGAGGGGGAGGGCAGAGTAGAGACCCGAAGCCCATCTGTAGACAATTGGACATCCCCTCACAGAACGGTCACAAGGAAAAGATGAGCCAGTCAGGGTGCAGTATAGCACCGATGAAATATACAACTTTCCTCTAGTTCTATAATGCTCCCCCCTCCCCCCAACCCACCCCGCCCCACTATCATGACCCCAATTCTACATTACAAATCTGGCTAAACAAGAGCATGCACATGGTGCAGATAAGAGCTGGAAACACAGGGAATCCAGGACAGATAAAGCCCAGAGAGTAGCCATACTAGGAGGGGAAGGGGAAGTGGGGGGAGAAAGGGGGAACTGATTACAATGATCTACCTATAGTCCCCTCCCAGGGGGATGGACAAAAGAAAAGTGGGTAAAGGGAGACATAAGTCAGTGTAAGACACGAAAAAATAATAATCTATAAACTTATCAAGGGTTCATGAGGCAAAGAGGATGGGGGAGGGAAGGGGAAAATGAAGAGCTGATACCAAGAGCTCAAGTAGAAAGAAAATGTTTTGAAAATGATGATGGCAACTAATGTACAAATGTGCATGATACTATGGATGGATATTGTGATGTTGTACGAGCCCCCAATAAAATGATTTATTAAAATAATAGAAAAGTGGGTGTGGGGACTAAGAATAATGGTTTTCATACCAAAAGAAACAGACTTCAAAGATTATGGTGTAGCGGGTTGGGGAGAGGAGGGGAGGGGAGGGACAATCAGAGTGGGAGGTTCAAAATAACAAAGCAACATTGGGGGAGGGGCACTACTGACACAACAGGTGTGGCAAGTATGTAAAATGTTTTTCTTTGTGTCATGCTCTACAAATAAAAGGAAGTAAATTAACTTTTTTTTTTGAGGGAGAACAGAGGAGTCACAGCTTCAAAAATGCATTTTCTTATGCTAAACACTAGTCTGAGTGGTTCTAAAAGGAGGAAAAGTAAAACTAAAATTGACTTCAGTGGTTTTGTGGCATAAGAGCTACCTTCTTTTTAAAAAGGAAAAAGTTATAGGGAAGGTATTGCTATTTTTTTAGATGCAAAACTGAGGCTGACAGAGAAAATGTTCCTATGGTCCTGAATGAGGCTTGACTCCCAAACTGATAATCATCCAATATACAACCCAAAGCAAATCAATTCACCACCCAACCCATCACCTGTCATCTGGTACACTGAAGTCCTATCACTCCCGTGGGTTACACAGAACTACTGCCCAGGACTGTCTTCACTGTGAATTTTACAGAGGCAGACCGTAGGTCTTCCTTCTGTGGCCCTCACTGCTGGATGGGTTCAAACTCCCATGCTTTTGCAGACAAGGGCACATCATTTGCACCACCTAGGGACTGATCACTGAACAACATGCTTTCACAAGTTTGAGAAGCATCACATTATGAACCAGTCTCTTTTGAGTATGCACCATTGGTCTATATTTTTCCCTTGAGACCTTACCCATTACCCACTGCCGTTGAGTTGACTTTGACTCCACAGAGACCCAAGATAAGATTCCTGAGGCTTTCTTTCCTTATGGAAGCGCTAGCCTCATCTTTCTTCCTTGGAGAGGCTGGTAGATTTGAACCTCTGACTTTGTGGTTAACAGGAGAAAGCTTTTAGATGCCTTAAGTACTCTACAAGTACCTAAAGACATTTTTCCCCTTGCCTAAGATCCCTGGTGGTGTAGTGGTTATGCATTGGGCTGTGATCAGCAAGGTCAGCAGTTTGAAACTACCAGATGCTCAATGGGAGACACATGGAGCTTTCTACTCCCATGGTTAGTTTTGGAAACTCATGGGGGCAGTTCTACCCTGTGCTATAGAGTCGGCATCAACTCACTGGCAGTGAGTTTGTTTTTTGAGAATATCATGAGAAACAGAAAAGATTGACATGGATTGTCCTGGATCTCATCTTACTTGGATCCACAATCAATGTTCATGGCAGCAACAAACAACACATTGCATCAGATAATCTGCTGCACAAGATCTCTTTAAAGTGTTGACAAGCAAGAATGTTATTTTACGGATTAAGGTGCACCCAATCCAAACCAAGTTATTTCCAGTCAACGTCCTCACATGCATGTGAGAAGCTAGACGTTGACTAAGGAAGACCAAAAAACTAGCTTGAATTACGGTGCTGGCGAAGATTATTGAAAGTAATAAGAACTTCCGGAAGAACAAACAAATCTGTCTTGGAAGATAGAGTGGACCTCAGAAGCAAAGACTGCAAGACTTCGTCGCATGCCCTTTGGACATGTTTTGTTAAGAGACCAGTCCCTGGGGAAAAAGGCATAATGCTTGGTAAAGTGGAAGGGTAGTTTAAAAGAGGAAGGCCTTTGATGAGATGGATGGACACAGTGACAGCACAACAATGAACTCAGATAGTTGTGAGGATGGTAGTGTTCAGTTCTACTGCACCCAGGGTTGCTGAGTAGGAACTGACTTGATGGCACCTAACAAGTCATCCATAACCTTCTTAGGCCTCCATGCACTTCATTTCCTCTTAATATATTCATTTGTCTATAACCTTTTATCAGTGGCTAAAGCAGCTTGATGCAGGAGGTATGGTAGCATCAGCAAAGAGCACAGCAGTGCCATCTTGTTTCTGTATACTGTATTCTACTTCCGTTCTACTTCATACACGAGTTGATTTTTTAGATGTAAAGGAAGAACCTTACCCCTAAGACTAATGAATTTCACCTTCTAAGATGGGTGGGGTTATTGTTCCTGCTATCAGGGTCTTCTTTATCTGCTACAAGCTGGTTATTGCTCCTTCTTACCCCTCACCCCCCACATAGGTTGCGTGACGATGCTGTTGTTTTCCTCTGGGCCACTGACAAAAATACACGGAGGGTTGTCCATTCTTCCAGAAGGTGGCAGTCAGGAGCCTCACACTTCCGCAAGATTTGGGTTGACAGCCAACTAAAGAAAAATGAGCATTTCAGAGGAAACCTCAGGTTGACATTACTAGTTCCAGTACCTTCACAAAGGTCACTTCTCCAGCTCTTCCTCCTGCATTCTTTTCCATTTAGGGTACTAAAAGCAAGACACAGGCTCTCCAACCCTCCCTTCCCAGCCGTATTAAAAACCTACTACTTTCCTAGTGCTGGTTGTATGTACGTGGGTGAATTACTTAGCATTTCCATGCTTCATTTTCCCGGCTGAGATAGGAATAATAAAAACCAAGCCCAATTTTGACTCAGAGACCCTGTAGGAGTGGAACTGCACTTTGGGGTGTCCCAAGAGTATCGTTCCAAGAGCGGACAGCCTCAGCCTTCTCCCAAAGAGCAGTGGATGCCCTTGTGGTTAGCAGCAACGCTTAGCCCAATGCACCACCAGGGCTCCTAGGAAATGTCAGTGGATGGTGATCATCATTCAACAAGTTATTTTTAAAGGAGGTGGGAGTTTCAAAGTTCTACTTCTTCATTTGCCCACTTTAGAATGCCCCATAGAACGTACTACTCCCTCGAGAAATGAACCCAATTTCCATTTTCTTCTACTTTCTCCACTCTTTGGCCTTGATCTTTGGATCCAGGAATAGGAACAAACACACCCTTAGTTCCATTTATCACGGGACGTAGAGGGTTCATGTCATGGAAAACATCCATCTCCATGTAACCCTCCCGACCCACCCCCTACCCCCCACAATCTCCCTTTCACATGTCCATGTATTCCCATTCAAGGAAAAGGCAATTAGCATATTAAATAGAAATGTACTAGCTGAGACCAAGGACTCAAACAGAAATGTTTTGAAAATGATGGCAACATATGTACAAATGTGCTTGATGCAATTGATGTAGGGATTGTTTTAAGAGCTGTAAGAGCCCCCAATAAAATGATTTTTTTTAAAAAAGGCATGTACTTGTGGAGTTTTATGGAAGGACACCCTTAATCTCTTAATAAGATAATCAGGCAGTTTCTCAATGTCTAAGTCATTGAGTCCACATTAATTTTTCTTCTAATACGGAACTTCAGAATTTAAACAAACTCAATGTGGAAAATAAACATTTATTACAAAAAATTAGTTTTACAGTCTAAAATGAAAGCAGACAGGTTGTTTCCAACTCAAAGGGGCTGTGAAGCTGGGGAAAGGGGTGTGGTATGTGGTAAATTCCAAGGCTGGTGATAGCAGATTCATCACAAGCTACCTAGAATAAGGAGCCACTCACCTCACTCAGAGGGCGATGGGTCACCTCTGCTCCCCAGGGGCCCTTTCTCCACACCCCCCACACATCCTCCAACCAAGAAACAAAACCGAAACATACTTCAAAAAACGAACCATTTCACAATCTCCACTTGCATTGTTTAATTGGATTTTACTTCCCTCTGGAAAATGTAGTGGTGCGTGACCTTTACTGATGGTTTGCTTTGGTTGTTGTTCTTTTTAGATCCTTGCTAGAAGGATAAGAGAATCCCCAGGGCCTGTAGGAACGTCCAGGTCGGGAGTAGATTATGCTATGTGGCACATGAATATCCTCCACAGAGCCAAGACCAACCCACCAGGACCCCTTCCCTGCCCTCTTGCCATCTCATACGTAGATTTGGAAATGTGTTGAGAGATTGTAGTGGGTGGGAGTACAGAAGGTTAGGGGCAAAGAAGGGTCCAAATGGGAAGAAGGAAAAGTAATGACTGTCAACAGCCTGCTTAGTGGGGCCCTCTTTTACAGAGCCCACCCACCTCAAACACCGACCCCCTTACAGAAGTTCCTCCCTGCCTCAGGCTTGGGAGCACTTTTTCCTGTTGCATTAGAGACATCCACCAATACATTTGGGCAAGAGGTAGAGAGAAGGCGCCCTCTTCTTACTCAGAGGGACAGGGCAAGCAGAGTCCCAGAACACAGCATCAGTTTCACTCTGGGTTCCCACCTCCAACGAGGGAAGGCCTGGCCAACAGAGGATGCTGAAACTCTGCCCTGAAATACAAACCGGGGAAGGGCAGCACCAGGAGGCAAGGCAGAGAGTTGGGACCAGCCCAGTAGGCATTGTCCGGTTTATACAAAGAAGGAAAGCAGTACAACTCAAAGAACTCACTTCCGCTGTTCCTCCCAACAAGAATCTTTGACAAATCATTTTTATTTCCAGCACCATCCAGGGACATACAAACACACACAACCACATCTCAGCACACAGCTAAGACCACACACACACACACACACACACCAACAGACATGTCTATCCCAGGTCTGGTCCAATGGTTTCGGGCCAGGGAAGGTCTGTGCTACAAGCTTCAGCTTTGTTTTCTGTAGACCAATGGTTTTAAAACGCTTCCACTTCACCTTCCCTGAAAGCTCACTTTGCATTCCAATAACAGTTCCAGTTTTCCCCACAGACACGATCTGTTGTCGGTCTGTCTGTGTTCAGGAGGAGGACGGTGCAGGAGGGTCCCGTGGCACTTCCCATGAGAAGACAGAAGAGAGTGGGCTCCAGAGGCGGGGAAGACCTGATGCCGCCATCAGCAGACCACCCCGTCAGCAGCGGAAGTCCTCGACCTCCACTCAGAACCGCTCAGTGCTGGAGAAGAGAGCTCAGAAACAAGGCTCGCGGTCCTTATTCTGAGCCTACAACACTCTAAGTAGACAGTGACCGCACATATTTCTGCCTTCCTGGCCACTCTTACTACCTACTGAGAAGGGAAGTCAGCAAGCACCCAGCTTTCGGGACGCTGGCCTGACTCCACATGAGGTTGGGGCTGAATCTTGACACAAGTCCCAGGCCCCTCAGCAGGGGCAGGTAAGGAGGGTGGGGCGGGAGTGTAGGAGGAAGAGGCCCAGACCTGACAGTATTTAAAAAGCTACAAAGGAAGCTAGCGGTGGGGCTCCGGAAGGGGGCTAGAGGACACAAAAAGGCATCCTGTGCCACTAAGACCAGGGCCAAGGCCTGGTAGCACCTGAGGAGGGCAAGCACAGAGGATGAGCGATGAGCCGGCCAGGGTCACACCAGGAATGAAGACGTCTGTTTGAACTCCCCCTGTGGAGATAAAGCTTTCGGTAAGTCTCCGGAGATCTGGCTGGCACTCCCCAGTATAAACACAGTTAAGAGAGCAGGCCCTCCCTCCCTCCCCACCCCCAGGCATGCATACTAACTTCACTTCGTGCAGTGGACTGGCTGTAAATCACCTTCTTACTCGGGGAACTGCAGACAAGAGAAAGACAGATACGATCAGCCCCTAAGCCCTTCCATGAACCTCAAATTGCCAAATTTGCAAGCCAGCACCAAGAGCTTTATTAAGGAGCAGGGATGTGGGGACAGAGGAAAACAGGGCTACAGAGCACAGCAGGGAGACCCAGATGTCCTTCCCACAGGCTAGTTGCCTTCCACCTCCAAATACTTCCCTTTGGCCCATTGTTAGCCCCTGGCAGCATAGTGGTTATGTGTGGGGCTGCTGACGGCGAGGTCTGCAGTTCGAGCCCACCAGGTACTCCTCGGGAGCAAGACAAGGCTTCTACTCCCGTACAGGGTCTCAGAAACCCACAGAGGTAGGTCTTCGCTGTCCTATAGGGTCACTGTGAGTCGCTATCAACTCGACAGCAATAAGTTTGGTTTCTGACTTGGGGCCCTTTTAGCTTCAAACCATACAGGTCCATGCTGTCTACTTCAGCGAGCCCCAGGACGGCGCCTCACTCACCTTTTCTTTGCTCCTGAAAAAGAAGAAATGGGAAGATGACATCAGTAGGATGGAAACAACAAGATGCAGGAAGATGGGGAGCTAGTAACGCATGTAGAACTTAAGATCTATTGAGAGGGGTGCGTAGTCTTCCCAGAGAAAACTCTGCAACGCGGGGGTGCAATATCTGTACCGAAATTCAGACCAGATCCATGAGCCATGTTCTGGAATGGGAACAATGGAGCCTTTGCGGGCAAATACTTACTCTCAAAGTAGCCGTGGCTGTAGGCAAACCAGATGCCAAAAATCAGGACCCCAAGGAGGATCAGGGTCACAAGGACACCCGCCACAATGGCCCCCACATTCAGCTCCGCTGTGAGACACAAACACAGGTCAGGCACCTGAATATCTGAGAGCTCCTTCGTAGTACTGATCTCACTATCAAGACCAGGATAAAAGGCCAAACGCATCTCCCACGGTCCCCTACCCCATGCCTGTGCCCAAACCCCACCACGCCCTCACTTACCAGCTTCCATGCGTACCACTTCAGACTTCGCTGATAACCCAACTTCATTCTGTGCCTGACAAGAATATGCTGCACTATCGAAGGTTGACACGGGTTCGAAGATCTGGGGGGCAAACACAAATGGAGGGTGGGGGTGGGGAATCGGGGAGCAATCAATGAGTGCTAGAGGGGGAAGGGAACGTTAGAACTGATTGTGATAATGTAGAGACCACTCTTCTTAAAAGCGATTTAACTATGGCAGTGTATGATATGTGAAGAGTATACCAAGAAAAGCACTGGGAAAAAAATCAAAGAAACCAAACTTGACCTATGGTTACCACGGGTGAAGGAGAAAGAGTTTTTGTTCTGCTTAGGGGCATTGAGTTCATTTTAATGGAGGTAGAACAATCTGGAGAGGGATAGCAATAATGGTTGTACAGCACAAAGAGTATAATCAATGGCACTGAATGATACATGTCGGAGTTGACTGAATGTTTTGTTGTGTGTGTTGCTTATTTGTTTGCCAAAATTGAAATGTAAAAAATTATACGAATAACAATGAGTACAGGGGAAAAGAAAATATTCTACAATGGATTGTGGTAAAAATTATACAACTCTTCTTGATATGGATGGACTATTGAATTGTATGATATGTGGATGAAGTGCCAATAAAACTGTTGTTTTCTTTAAAAGTAAACAAATGGACCCCTTGCTGGAAGAAGCCACAAGCTTATCTTTTGTGCCTCCTGACACCCGGCCCCACCCCCAACTCCAAGTTCATCTTGGTGCTTGTTCTTCCTCTCACTTTCATGAACCCTCTAACCCAGTGGTTCTCAACCTTCCTATGCTGCAACCCTTTCATACAGTTCTTCATGTGGTGGTGACCCCCCAACCACAACATTATTTTCGTTGCTACTTCATAGCTGTAATTTTGTGATGAATCGGGCAACCCCTGCTCTAACCCCACCCCCACCACCCCACCTTTCAAACCCATCTCATCCATACCAGTTCTCCCGTCTTTTGAAACAGGGTATAAGATGAGTTGCTGAAGGCACGGTTGCTCTTGGGTTCTGTAGGCATCATTACGCCATTCCTGAACCAGGTGTATTCAGAGGGAGGGGAGCCATCTTTCTCTGAGCAGGTCAGCACTACCCGGTTCCCAATGGTGACAGAAGTGGGAATGCTGACTGTAGGCTTGGATGGAGGCACTGAGGAGAGAGGATGCTGAATATAAGGGAGGAAGGCCTAGATGACCCCCTCCCCATCACCAGCAACCTCCTTCCTGACCTACCCTGTGTTTCCACCTAAACCAGGGCTCATCAGCAGCACTGTGGCTCTAAACACCACCACCCTGACACTCCCCTCCCACCCCACCCCAGCCCCTCCCCACCCCCGCATTCTTCTCACCATCAATGAGCCTACCAGAGCCTGCTGGGGACAGATGGAAACTACGGGTTCCAGACCCACACAGAAGATACATGGCACATACCAAGCACAATCAGCTGCACGTTGACCTCCCCGTAGTTGTTGCCGCCGTCCTCAGAGACCATACACGTATACATCCCATTGTCTTTCCGAGTCACAGAATGGATGGTGATGTCATTTGGTGAGAACGTAACTCGGCCCTCATAGGACGCTACCAAGGCAGAGGAAGCAGGAAAGGGGCAGAGTAAGTTGGAAAGCTTAAGAAAAGGGGCCCGTGGAGGTGGCTCCCAGGGCATAGAGGGTACTTCATCTTCTCCTCGGAAGGCCATGGACACTTGAGCCCAGGTTGCGCCACCACCACCCCTTAAGATCCCAGCCCCCAACTTGATCTCATCAAAACCTAGACAGTCAGGAAGTGGGTGGTGCGACTCACCTGTGATCTTGTTGTTATAGCAAACGAGGCTGGTGGTGTCACCTTGCACAAACTTCCACTCCACGCGGGGATTGGAGAAGCCCGAGTAGATGCAAGTCAATCTGGCAACTGCAGACAGGATCAAAGGGAGCAAAGATGGGCACAAAGGCAAATGGACAAGGTGAAGGGCAGCCCAAAACCACAGGCTGGCTGGCGAGTCTCCAGGCCCCAAGGAGGCTGGCAACTGCCCACCCTCATGCCCACCACCCACTTCAACAGCCCTGCTCAACTTACATTGATTCTCAGCGACTTTGACGACAGGCTCATTAGTGTATACTGTACCCTTGCTTGACACCAGGGGGCCTGTGAAGGAAAAGAGTGGGCCATCAGGAGGGAACAGAGAAGTGCATGCAGAAGGAAGAGCAGAGCCACATGTCGGGGGATCTGAAGCCCAGATGCTCCCTGAGCTGAGATTCAAGCCTCTCCTGGGCTCACACTCTCTCACCATTACCCCAAATATCTTCTTAAAATGTTTTCTGCCTTAGTGGCAGGTCAGGACTTCATGCTCAGTGGAATTAAACAGTTTCTTTCACAAATGCAGTTTCTTTCATTTCTACATGTTCCCTCTCTGGTCCCCTGGAACATAAGGAGATTCCTACTAATCCCGGACAACTTCCACAATGGCAACTCAGGGTTGAAAGAAAGTTTCTCAACCAAAGACTACAGCTTTTCATTGGATAACCCTGGAAGGAAGGGGCCACAGCTAGAGGCAGAAGAGGGAAGGAAAGGAAGGACAACAAAGATACTCAACATCTGCCTAACATCTGGGGACCCTTGAAATAAGCACGGCAGGCCACTAGCATTGCACAAGGAATTCAACAACTAGAAGTTATGAGTGTGCCTACAATCACATAGTTACTGATCCTGAGGTGGAGTTAGGATGAGCACTGGGTTCAGGTCATCTCATCAGACTCTCCCACTGCCAAGTGGAGAACGGTGCAGAAAAGGTGGTAGGGTTGAAGGGAGAAAGTATGGAGAGAAAAGGCTAATTAAATGATCTCTCTCTCTCTCTCTCTCTCTCTCTCTCTCACACACACACACACACACCACACACACACACACACACACACACTGTAGAGGACTACACATTTAAATGAAGAACTCTGTCACTGAATTTGTTAACTGCTGTGTTACAAAGCTGCACTCATACAATTACTCTTATTCATGTTCTCAGAGACGGGATTCATGAACTAGACCTTTATTTAGCTTTTTAGTCAGAACTTCAGTTTACCTCAATAAATGCAGAAAGATCCGCATAATGCAAACAAGCTGTAAAATGCAACGAGTGTGTTTTCCTTTTTAAAATTCCTCACATAACTAAACACGTGCTTGACCCAGGAGACGGCCGTTGTCATCGGAAACATGCGGGCTTAGGCTACAGGTGCTCTAAACGCCTTTACTCCTTTTCTTTCTTTTGCCACAAATCACTTCAATTTGACACAGCAACAATAGGAAAGAGCCCGCGTAAGCATTAACTTTGCTTTTTGAAGGTGAGAAAGTATATGTAAGGTTACGGTCCAAAGTTTCATAGCTAAGAAGGAAAAAGCAGAGCTAAGGTTAACATGCAGGCATCTGACCTCCTATATCCATTACGTCATTTTCGCCAAAGATATACAAATGGTCAATAAAAAAACTCAAACTCACTGCCCTTGAGTCAATTCTGACTCATAAGTACTCAATAGGGCAGACAGGTCAATAGCACATGAAAAGATGCCCACCGTCATTAGACATCAGAGAAATGCACACTAAAACCACACTTAGAAACCACTTCACACCCACCAGGATGACTAACATAAAAGATGCTGCTGTTAAATGCCATCAAGACGGGTTCGACCTACAGCAACCCTATGCCCAGCAGAACGACACACTCACTGCCCAGTACCGTGCCACCCTCACTGTTGTTCCTAGACTTGAGCTCGATGGTGCACCCACTGGGTCAATCTACCTCCTTGAGGGACATCCTCTTTTCCACTGCCCCTCTACTTCACCAAACTCGATGTCCTTCTCTAAGGATTTGTCTCTCCTGGCATGGCCAAAGTATGTGAGACAAGTCTGGTCATCCTTGCCTCGAAGGAGCACTCTGGCTGTACTTCTTCCAAGACAGATTGGTTTATCTTTTAGGCAGTCCGTGGTACGTCAATGTTCTTCTCTAGCATCATAATTCAAATGTATCAATTCTTCTTCCGTCTTCCTTACTTCCATCTGCAGATGAGGCAACAGGAAATATCATGGCTTCGGTCAGACACGGCTTTAGTGCTCAAATCCACATCCTTGCTTTTCAAGACTGGTGTAGCAGATTTACTGAAAGCACCACCTCATTTGATCTCTTGACTGCTGCTTCCATGAGCATGGACTGTAGATCCAAGCAAGACAAAATCCTTCACAATTTCAACTTTTTCTCCGATGATCATTTATTGGTCCAGTTAAGAGGATTTTGGTATGTGGTAGAATACAAGTCACCCTATGATCCAGCAATTGGACTCCTAGGTATACACACCAAGCGAAAGGAACACAAATGTCTGCACAAAGCCTCGACCATGCCTGGGAACATGGTGGCGCCCAGAAACCATCATTCTATGCCTGCCCACAGACACATCCAGGGAATGGTGAATCGCTCAGGGATCTGAACCAGGCACAGAGGCAAGTAGCAAGGGAACTGCAAACAGCTAAAAGTATCAACAAAGCGAAAAGTGATATAGGATCAGAAAGATCCCTCTCCCACGTGGTGCCCCCGCTATAGTCCAGCCACAGAGAACCACAGGCTGCTGTGAATGAAAGCTATCGGTTCCTCAAAAAGAGCCATAGCCCTGCCTGTACAGAGAGACGCCAGACCAACTATAAGCCCCGGAGCTGCTGCTGTCTTCAAACTGCCAACCAAAACTAATAGCAAAACTCAAAAACAATAAAATAGCTCCAGAAAACAATATCCAGCAATCCCTCAACTTGGTATACATCCTAGAGAACCATGACATGGATATGCACATACGCATGGTCACTGCAGCACTATTCACAACAGCCGAAAGACGGGAACAACGACATGTCCACCAATGGAAGAGGAGACATAGATACATACACACAGCACTGAACTACCACCCAACGAATGGACCAGCAATCTGCTTCCAAAACCAGAGGCAGGCCCAAAGTGATAAAACTGCCTTGCCCTTCAGAGAGAGACCTGGGAACCACAGAAAAGTAAGAAAAATGGGCAAGAGGAAAGTTGGCCTGAAAAGCAGCTGAAACGGAGGAAGAGGACCAAAAGGAAGAAGACAACCGAAGGGAAGAAGTAGAATCAAAATGGAAACATTTACCCAAAGCGGGATTGCATCAACCTCTAATTCTGAAGGGGATGATTCAGCCGGTGAAGAGAAAGGTGGGCGGAGCGTTCAGGCTGCTCGTGGAGGAAGCTGCTGAAAGGGCAGCACGAGAAGGAAGTGACAGGAAACGCAGCAAGAGGAGCAAATGGAGACTGAGCACCAGACATGTAACCTACAGGGAAAAATGTATCTCCTTTGGGTCTCAAAGCGTTAATCCAGCTACTGAAAAGAGAATACAAGTAGAACAAACGGGAGCTGGAGATCTTGAGACAGAACTGTTTGGGGGAAACTGAGAACCGGAAGAGCGTGTATGCGGACAAATTCTCTACGCTCATATTTACGAGTCTGGGAGGCAGACAGGTGTGGGAAGGCCTCCTTCGTGGGTTGGCGATGAATCCCAGTCACATTCTCCGAACTAAAGTTATTCCCCACAGTTTCGCCCGTAATAATGCCAATTTTAAGGTGCTGTTTGAAAACACATGGTTGCTGTTATAAGCTTGAAGATTAACTGCTTGAAGGCTATTTGCCTGAAGGTTAGCTACCATCAAGAGCAATCAGACCACCCCAACTAAGAAGGGCCCACTCCCTCCTGATAAAAATCATGGATTGCGCCCATGGATGGGCTCAGGGAGACCTAAGGTCAAGCCGGCTCAGAGACCACCAAGGTTAAGCTGCCATCTTAACTGTAGAACCTGCCCATTCTGTTTCAAGTGTTCTTTCCTGCTGCATGTATGCCCCTAGTACATCCCTTCCTGTTACATATGTGTGGGCGTGGCTTGCATGCCAGAGATTATAAATGCCTATCAGAGAATCCATTCATTCCATCTCTCTCTTGATCCTGCCATCAGAAGAGGTGAGCCCTTACATGTCTTGTCTGATGTCTCTTTAATTTACCCTTCAATTACACAACGACCCCTTAGATCCATTTGATTGTGGAGGCTGGTCCCCCACACTCATTGGCCTGAATTTCCCCCTCCCACTTGATGGAAGAATGTGCCAGACTCTAAACTGAGGACTTCATTATTTTTTGTTGTTGTTGTTAGTTCAAGGATCATTTGTTGGCTTTAGGAGTGTTTTCCAGTCCAGTCTGTTGGGGCACCATGCCTGGTCCCAAAGTCCACCTTCAGCATTCCTTGGGGACCTTCAGCATTCCCTGGGGACCTTTCCGCTACATTCCCTTGCTGTTCCACTACACTGCCCCAGTGCTTTGCCTCGGTGTAGCGGGATCAGATCGGGCACAATTCCCACATTGTGTCTAGGGTGCTGTCCCTTGCGGGGCCATGGGTCAGTGAGGGGCGTCATGTCTCATAGTGGAGCTGGCCCTGTGGTCCTCTCGGTGGACTGGCTGCTCTAATTAGGGTCATGGTCCTCAAGGCCTGGTGGGCCAGGATGTGCTCCACTCTCTCCTCCTCCCCCTTCAACTGCTCCCGTGTGCTCCAATCAGATATTTTCCTCTCCCGGAGCTGCAGATTCAATGCCGTCCTTTGAAATAAATTCCGGGGGGAGGGGCAGGCATCCACTTAGTATTTGGGACTGGGGCCAGCCCCCCAGACCTCTCCACTGGTTCCCCGAGGGCTTCATTATTAATGCCATTATTACTGTTATGTTTTTATTAAAATTACCAAGGTCAGCCATCATTCCTGTTATAGTTATTAACAAGCTTGAAAACGAAGCTTTGAGTATTTGAAAGTTAGCACCAGCTCAGCTGAAGTTGGTGGTTATGCACACCTTTATGAAACATAAACCTACATGTTGTTTTGAAGTGTTAAACTGGGGCAGATGGGCACTGTGCCCTTACCCTGACCTTCTTTGGTTGTTAATTCTTTAGAATTTTAATTGTTGTTTTTTTTTTTTCATTTTGAGAGATTAGACTTGTTAAGAAAAAAAAAGAAACTAAAATTTTTAAATAAAAGGTTTTCTTTTTTTACAAAGAAGAACAAGCCAGGATTCTGTGGAATCGTCCACATGATGAGGAACTTAGACGGAACC